ATGTGATATTGTTTACACCATAAATTGCAAAATTTTAAATTAATGTCACGTGTAAAATATTTTTTATTGGTTGGAGGAGATTGAGCCATGCCAGATTCAGATTCTGGGTCCCATGACAGATCAACACTTGTGTTGGCAAAAGAGAAGAGGTAAAGATAATTTTTTATGAAGTAATTATCTTCTTGAGACAGAAAAGGATAATGGGAGCTGAAAAATAGGAGAAGATTGTAGTTAAAAAGAGGGTTTTATCTAATAAGAGTACAGGTGGCGAAATCTGCAAGGAGATTAGACCAGGTCAAAGGGTGAGTTGTCCCATTATCTCAAAAAATCACCCATGATTGAGTAACTGTAGAAAGTGGAAGTTATTGCCGGCACATGGAGAACAAAAAGGAAATTTTTGGAAGGAAGAAGGGACGGCCAACCCTACTCAAACATCTGCAAATTTTCAGACTTTATTTTCTCTACAATCTGCTTTCAGATTTCGAATTTCAGCACAGATTCCAGTAGAATTATGTTATTTTTCATCATTCCATTAGGCAAATTAATTCATGTATTCAGTTCAACAATTTTCTTTCATGCAATGAACTTCAATCTTTCAAGTTTATGCAAGGTATTGTTCTCTTTCCATTTGCAATTAATTTAATGTTTATGATAAGTAGCATTTTATTTAATAATTACTTATGTGGTGTTCATACCTCTTTTCAACCTCAAGTATGGTAGTTTAATTACTGTTCACGTTAATTTTAATGTTAATTAGGATGAAATGTTTAATTCTGCAACACTTTTAATTTCCAGATCTACCCATAGCATTTTAATTTAACAATGAATATGTTTAGTTTAATTTAGGTGCAGCTTTTTCTTGTAAATTTATTTTAAATTGCAGGTTATTTAGTTGAATTAGGATTTGTTAATTTAAGTCACGGTAGTGTTTAAGTCCTTGAAGTTGTCTAAGGCAAATTTCGTAACCCATTCTGCAAGAAGGTATCTCTCTCTCTTGCAAATCGTCTGAAGGCACAAATTTCATTTCAATCCAACGTTCTTCCCGCTATCTGCAAAGAGGTCGACCGTGAGGAAGTAGAGGGTCGTTGGAAAAGTCCTCATTTTTTACTTTCAACAAAGTAAGTGGCACGCCCGCATCCAGATTTTACACGTGCGAGGCCACTAGAGGATTTTTTGGGAAACATATATTAAGAATTTAAAAATTATTTTTATCTATTTTATCTTTAAAAAATAAAAATAAAGAGATTTTTTATAATAAAAT